GGTTTAATCTTGTCCTCGATAAATCCACAAAAACCTTTGTTAGCCGCTCTAAAATATTTTTTTCTGATGCGATTCGTAGTGCTGAAGGCCCCATATGCAGTAAATTTTGGAACTTGATTCCTGTTGCACTTAGAAAACCATAAATATGCCTAGTTTTGCTGAGAGTTATGGTAATTACGGTGTTTGGTACATTTGGCACTAAAATTTATCGCTTTTCTGACTATTTGGGTGTGGTCCTGGAAGACTGTAGTGCTAGCACTGATAGCAAAGTCTCTTGGGAGAACACAAGTTCGATAGCGTGGGAGAATTTAAAGCACAGTCACCAAAATCAGGAGAATCAGAAGCCCCAAGGGCTGAGGTCCTCGATCTATTTCATGGAATTTTAACTACAATCATAGGTGGCTGGGGAAACTTAGAGGTTGTACCGCGAAATCAGCTACTGCTTATCCCTACTTATCTTGGTAGAAGACTATTGATCCCTACTTACCTTGGTAGATGACTACTGACCTTCACCAGGGAAGTGAACAGCCTCTTCAGGAAAACGTCCTCTCATTGTAAGCATGCAGTCGCCTTCACCAGAAAAAAGGTGCCTTTACCAGAAAGTAGGCGCCTAGCCAGTCAAGCCATCTCATGAAGTGATCTTTATCAATAATTGTAATTGTAAGTGTATCTGGTTGAACCTTGACCATTAATTTTGATAGTTGTCTTTCGTTATTTCCACGTCCGGGCTTTTTATTCGAATTGCCCCTTCGAAACAAGTTTCCTGTCGAGTGTATCCTCAATGTCGAGTGCTCATCGGCTTTGTTTTCATCCTGGGTGCAAGGTGCTCAGTTCTCCAGTGTGTACCAGCAGGACGTGATTTCTGCAATTTCCCGAGCTCGTTCGACCATCATCCCATTGTCGTCACGGGCGCCACCTCTGTCATGGTGATCACTTCGACAAGCTCTCCTCACTTATGTGATTATAGCTCTTGAAGAATGTCACGTCACCTGTCTTTCACCCCTTTCGAGAACAGCGACGTCAATCTCTTACCAGATCGTTTACTTCTCATGCAATTACAGTATCTTTGAGATATCTTTCCTTTTTGTTGGGTCTCCATCCCCCGATTCGAATCCGAGCTATGGACTGATCAATGCCGATCTCGGCATGACCTCTGCTCCTATGGGCTTATCTTTTAAGTTTCACAAAGTGGGGGTATTTACATGTTTATTCCACCGGATATACTTGAATAAACAAATAAATAAACTATACATATATTGCATATGCCAACTTAAACTTAGGGTGTTAATCCGGTCCCAGTAAATGACTTTTTTGGTTCTATACGAGATCTTTCACGGGAATATGAGTGGTGGAAGGGATTCATGCGATCTGGTAAGAAGGCATCTTCGGGATAACGATCCTACCTATCCATCTCAAATTCCCCATTATCTATTTAATAACTATGATATCAATTTATTCGTATTACGGTAACTTTACATAAAACCCATATGATACAATACATTTGAGCTTTATCCTATGTGTCATTACTAGCTGTAGTAGCTGTTTGTGTATTTATTTACTTGACTATTTATTTATTTACGTATTCATTTATGTATTCATAATTAATATAGGCTTGATTGGTGTTGAGAGATTTCATGGTGCTTTTTTTATTCACATTACGGCAAACGTTCCTCTTTCAGTGCTTCTGCCTCATCTTAATCCCTTCTGGACCTCTTTCTATTATCCTAGCGACTGGCTTTCCGAACCAAACTTTGCAATTGAGAATCAATTTCGATATCTGAATTCATTAAATAAAACTTCCTCTTTGAATATTTTTTCAAATTGTGGGAAAAACTTTGCGGTTGTGATGCTCCTTCACCAGGAATCAGTAGCTTCACGATATCCGCCTCTCATCCAAAGTTATTAGGGGAGCCATCAATCATTTCGAGACTGTCTATTTTGTGAGAGCACCATCGGAAAGAAAAGCTGCCAGACGTTGGGTTTTAATCATGCATGAGGGGGCGGAAAAACCTACCAGAACCCATTAGATGCTATTTCCCACTCTCAGACTCTGAAGTAACTTGGCCAGCTGATCGGTTCTGTCTTCGAACGCGCCCACGCATTCAGCTTCCACTGAATCGTAGAGGCGATTGAATGAGCGTTTATTCTATGCAGCAAGTTGTGGGAACCGCTCTTTTTCCAAGTCGGCGCTTTTATTCCTTCATACAAGTGTGTAAGTGCGAATGTTCCGTCCCCTAAATGCGAATTCTCCGTCCCCTGGGTAGGAATCTTCCCTTTCCGAATGATAGGCTGGTATTATCGGGAAATGACCCGCAACTCGAACCCTTGACCATCCCTACCTATCATACCGACAAAGAAAGTCGAACTAAACGGCGGAATTTATATTCACCCTCTTTCCTTGTGTTGTTTCGAAATTGATCCTTTTCTTGAGATTACTCCTGAGTCTGAGAGAAGGGAGGCATATACAGTAAGCAGTTTTCGACTGTCTTCCGTTGCTCTTGAAGAGCCAGGTTTACCGGTGTCTCTGTTAGAACTCATGGGTTACGGTCAGCTTTATATTTGGGTACAGTACTTCATCTCCTAATCAGGCTGCTTTTAACTGAATTGTCCTTTTGGAAACTTTTTTTGTTGATTTACTGCAAATTTAAGAATCGAAGTTTGAAAAAATTCAAAAGACAAACAACAAAGCAATGAAAAAATAATTCAAACAAACAAAACAACAACCAACAATCAAATACTTCCAGCGAGATTCTTCTTCCACTGACTCATCAGAATCATCCTTTTTAATTTCTTGTGGCTCCAATTACCTATCCATCAAAAATTTCTGGTCTGTTCCTTCTTGGCCAATTCTCCTTTACCAAACTACCTATTCTTACTAAATCTTACTTCTTCGCTTAATTCGTTGTGTCGGTACTGCCTCGACTGCCATAGGGAGGCTGTGTTTAGTTGAAATCGTTTTTAATGGATTTCTGTATTTTTCAAAGTTAATCCGAATATTTCCAGCCGACCGCCTTCACTTCCTAGTCATGTCCCTACACCTATTGCGACAGGCCACTAACGTTTCATTTAACGTGAGTTCTTGAATGTGTTGTTGTCTTATTTGTTTGTTTATTTACACAGGCTTTGACCTAAGTGTATCACTGATGATCAACTGTACAGTATTAAACGGCATTAAGCAATATATAGAGTAAATCAAACAAAATTAAATCATTAGACAACTTCGGCCCCGATTGATGTGAGAGGATAAATTGACGAGTAAGTCTCTGAAGTGTGCCACTCTTCAACAACTGTGCTAGTAGCTCGTAAACCGACAAAAAAGCTGATTAGCCTCTTACCACCTCAGCTGACAGCCGCATAATAGAAAAAAATTTGAGAAAAAAATTCCCATGATGATCAAGCTTTTGTGGGAGCCCCTGACCTTCGATGGAACTCGGTACAGACGAATGGACTAATCAGCTTGTGGGTATCGAGTTCTGGATCAGCTGATTTCAAAATTATTCATTACTTTTTACTGATATTCCAATCTCCTACTGCGATATCCACAGGCACTTCTAAGTACAGTAATCATAGCAGTGGACTCAGTTCTACCGGTGTCCATTCGTGAGCGCTTGGAGGTCCTATTTCAAGGTTTAGCTCTTCGTTAAGCAGCAGAGAAATGTTCTTTCGTGTTTATGAGACCGAGCCTGCTTGCATGCTGTCGGTCATACGCTGTTTAGAAGAATTTTGTGAAGAAATGAGCCAGCTGTCAAGAGATAGTGTGTCGTTGTTCAGGGAAGTACCTCACTCAGGAGAACGCTTATCATATGTCACCTGTCGTTCCCTTGATGATAGGCTTGTCCAAACGGTAACTAAAACGTCTTCGTTCGCCCCTGCTACGAGCCATATTAACCCTGTGGATAGGTTTTTTTGGAGAGAAGCGTAAAATTTGTTTGGAGTGAGGAAGAAGTCTGACCGTCGGAATGGGGACGCCCTCGAGTTCGTTTAACGTACCAGGGTTCCTGGCGCCTTTCAGACGCTACCCAGAAACAATCGCCACGGTCCAACGGCCATTGAAAAAATGCGAGGCATGTCCTTGTCAAAGGGAGAGCTTAGACATAAAAAAAAATGCTGTGTTTGTCAAAATGTGTGTCCGATGGGAGTAAACAAAACCAGCAAACTATCATGCTCCTACAAATTGACGGCTCTTGCAAGTTTTTGCGATGACCTTAAAGCGTTGTCTATGCGCCTCAGTACTTTCTGGGCGAGTACCGAAAATCCCAAGGAAGTTCACGACTCTCTCTGCATAACATGTGAGGAGTTTTGTTTGAATAGAAAGATAACACGAAATGTTCATTGCTCAACAATCGTGTCAGACACAGGGCGTGCCAGGGGCACCCACTATTCGCCGAGAGCAAAGTGTAATGTACAGAATCCTTCTCATGGACTGCTACAGAACTAAAACTTTCAGTCGATGCTCAAAAAAGGCCCCTTCTCAATCGACATCTCGCACTTTGCCCGAGGTGGTAAAAAGGGTCTCTCCAATGAGTGTACAGATTTTGTACAAAGGATTAGGTGAAAGTGAAGTAGTTGAAGCGGTTACTTGAAGAGTTTCCTGTAGTGGTGAAGGAGGAGGGAAATAACTTTCGTTGAAGGTTTTGATTGAAGGATAAGCGGAGTGCAACAAGAATGGGAATATTTTTTATTTATTCCTTATGATGCGCGCATGCGCTCAAACAAATGCATTGAAGTAAAACATCAACGACAAAATTGAAGCGACGTCACATCAGATGCTCAAGGTTTTCAAAATCGTTAATGGCCTGGTTTCATTAAGTTTATTTTAATTTTTCCTTTATGAAATGATGGTTATCAAGTCGAAAAAGTTCCCTCAGAAACAATTCTCAGCTCTCTTTCTTAGACTTTCCATTTTTTTTTTGATCGCTTCCAATTTTTAGGCTCTCCGATTATGTTCGGGTGCTGCTGGAGTGTACCGTCCGTTACCGATCGATCCGACATGGGGTGAGATGGCAAAGAAAGCCATGAAAGGAAAGGATCCTGAAAGCCTGATTTGGCATACACCTGAAGGAATTCCAATCAAACCGCTCTATCTGAAAGAAGACCGAGAATGTGACCTCCATAGGAAATCAGAGGTTTTACTTTATTTTTTATTCGTTCGTATTCACCGACGTATCTGCCAGTTTACAACCTAACGTTCAACTAGAGTACCATGCCCAAATGTTTCAACTCGACTGAACTGCCTTTTTCATAAACTAAACTGAAATTAGTAAAACTTCCTCAA